ATGTCTGAAGTAAATACACCCATGTCATACTCATCCCTAAAATCCTCTTTTCTCATGCTGTTCCCTTCACTGCCATCCACCTCGGGATTGCTGCTATTATGGGATTCCTCACTGGGTTGATGCTTGACCAATATTTGACTTCTCTTTTTTTGTCTCCTGTGAAAACCATCTGAAACTAAGCAGAAACTAACCTTGATTTATTTCTTTAATAAACAAAATTAAGATGCTTCATGTTAATAAAAATGAAAAGTATTCCCTAGCTGCCTTTTTTTTTTTTTTTTAAGTTTCCAAAAACAGTCCCATATCTCTGTCAAAGTTAATGTAACCAGAATTTCCATGGGAATTTCTGTCAGTCTGGGGAAACTGGAACTGGCTAATGTAAATAACTACAGCCCATCCTCCCACTGCTGTCCACATCACCTTATCAGAAAGAAAATTCAGAAAGGAGAGTATCATCATGGGGGTCTTGTGGGTTACAACTAGGATGGGTTAACAAAATTTTACAGGAATGTTCTGTCAAAGCCAGACAGAAATTATTACAATGACAAATTATGACTTGAATTTCATGGGGCTCCTTTTTCTTTTTTGGCACAGATTCCAAAATTACCTAAAGACACTGTAAGAACAGATCATTCTTTTATGATTTTATGAGTAGCCTTCTACATGGGCAAATAGTTTTACAGGCTGATATTTCTGTTTCTTTTAATAAGCCTAAGCTTGTAAAATATGTATCTAAGGAGTACCTGGCCTGTATGTTTTGGCTGAGGTAGGACTGAGAATTAACTCCCGACTGCCTCTAAAATCCCCAAACACTCAAAAAACCACCTCGGATAACAAAACCCCCCTGTACCTTCCTGCACATGGTAACTCCATTTTATTGGGATAGAAACTTCATAGCACAGCAACTCGTTAATATTAGCCATTAAATATTAGTTCATATAATATAAAATGAGCTCCTATTTTATAAAGGGAATAGTTCTTCTAAATTATTCCAGATGGGCTTCACAATGAAACAGTGCTTGTGGAAGGACACAAACCACAGGCAGGCTGAGAGCACAGAGCTGCAAATGTTGTATAGATTTTAGAGGAAATCACGACGTGTGTGGTCACAGGAGGAGTTCAATGAGCCAGGCAGGGAGATCGTGTCCTGCCACTGGAACTGGTTTTCAGCTCTATTCCTCCACCAGGGCCTGAGAAATCCTGTGACAGCACAGAGCAGGAGCATCTGAGCAGGAGCTCAGAGGGGCTCCTGTGGATGCACTGGATCTGACATGGATGCCATATCACATCCATATTTATATCATACAGCCTGGAATTTCTGGGGCTGGCAGTGCCAACAACGGGGCATTGAGAGTCAGGCAGCAAAGGCAAGTGTGGCAGGGTAGAAGGGTTGCAGCCACGGTGATTTAGGGAAGAGTGCTTGTCAGGAAGCTGACATTGCCTTGGACCTTTATTTAATAATGCAATAAACCAGCTGAGTATCAAGAAATAGTAAAGGACTGAATGCTGTGCGTTAGAGACCGCAGCAGCCGGAGGAGAGCGGAATTCCCTGTCCGTGCTGGGGCAGAGCTGGGAGGGAAAATCAGCCCTGAAAACTCCCAGCAAAGGCATCTCCGGGGCTTTTAGCACAGCCCTGTGTCCCAAGGCAGGATTAGCTTTATTTGTACTGCTCCTGAATGATGCTTGTTTAACCTGCTCTGGGAGATCCTGGTGATGGACACGGTGCAATCCTCAGTGCTGTCCTCACTCACAGGTATAACATTGTTTTGCTCCTCCTATATTCCAGTGGTCCTGCAGGACAATGCAGGTCTGTTCTGTGCATTTTGCCATTTCTAGACTGGGTGATTTCACCTTTGTCCCTCTCCCCGTGGCTCCTGAGAGCAGTGTGGCATTTGTGACTCCCTGGGATGCACCGTGACCTCCAGGGCCGCAGGTCAGAGCCTGTCTCTGGGGTGCTGCCTGCTCATCTGCTGCCTCATCATAAACAGGGAGCCTGCAGACATTTGTGAGAGTGTCTGGACAATTATTGATAGAAGAAATTGATAGATAAAAGAAACGTGGCCTGACTCATCCAAAGCTTGTCCTTCAGACAGCAAGTTCTGGCTGCAGCATGATCTGGGCTTATCAGGAACTGGAGCAGATAATGGGTTGAAGAAACAGGAGTGTGACTGAGTTAATTGAGGGTCTGGCTGTGGGTTCCCTCCAAGGCTGCACGCTGATAATGAAATGTGAGAGGCCTGTAGCTCCTCGTGTTTTGTCTGCTTCTCCCTGCAGGGAACATCTCATAGTAAATGTGTCTGCACAGAGAGAAAATCCAGATATAGCTAGCAGAGATAAACCCTGCTTTCATTCAATTGAGACTTGATTTGACCAGCTGAGAAGGAATTTTGAATCAGAGTGACATCTTTGATGCTGGGTCACTTTTATTTTGTTGCTTGGGATATTTTAATTTGTTTATTTTAATGGCAGAGAATGAACCTGAAGTTACCAGAGCATCTCTGTACTTTGGTGACAGGAGCACATCAGGCCCCTCTCAGGTTTGGCTTCAACATTTTTTATGCAAATCAACATCAAAACAAATTAAAAGTCTTGAGCTGGTGTATCAAGTGAACCTCTGTAGGCAATAACTGTAAGGACACAAGCTGAGTATTCTCATGTTTTGTGCAATAATTCCTGTCTGGCCTTGTAATCACTATTGCCTGCCCTTTGGCTCACCATAAAAAAAACAGGAATGGGAGATAAAATAGCTCCTAAGGATGTATTATTACAGCTTTTCATCAGGGAATTCCCTGATCTCTGTTGGGAATCAGAATTCTCTGCTGAGAGTCCGTGTCCCTGGAGCCAGGTTGTCTCGATCCTCTTTGTGTGACAGTGGCACTTCCCAGGGTAACCTCAAAACAGGAGCGGGTGTGTCGTGGGTGAGGGTGTGACCGTGGGTTTGATAAGCAGGGTTTAAGCTGTAGAGAAAGAGATGCCGGGGCCTTAGTAGTGGAAATGCTCTGTATTTTATTCAGGTGCTTTTACTTTATAGTTGCACAAGCCCGTCCTGCCGAGCTGGCTCTGAGCTGCGGGATCAGCCTCACCCGGCGGGACAGCGGTGCCTTGTCCCGGGTGGCCACCGAGCCACGGGGTTCGTTCTGAAGCCAAATGTCCGAACATTGTCCCTGCGGCCTCACACCCCAATAAATCATCTCCCGTGTGCCTCCTGCCCCTGCTCGATCGCTCGCTCCAAAAGCCGCCGGTGCCGTGTGGCTCGCCCCCGGGAGGGCCATCCCGGCGGGGACATCAGCGCGGCCCGGCGGGGACAGCCCGCAGCGGAGCCGGGAGCACCTTCCCTGTCCTTCCCTGCCGGGAGTATCCCTCGCTCAGGACCGGCAGCCGGGGCCGGGGCTGGGGATGGATCGGGGCGGGACCACACATGGAGCAGGACCGGGAACGGAGCGGGGCTGGGGATGGAGCGGGAGCGGGACCGGAGCGGGGCCGGGAGCGGGGCGGGACCGGGAGCGGGGCGGGACCGGGAGCGGGACCGGGACCGGAGCGGGGCGGGGCCGTTCCCCCGTGGGGTCAGTGCGCAGGCGCGGCGCCGGCGACGGTAACAGTGACGGTAACGGTGACTGTGAGGGTGGCGGTGCGTGGTGCGTGCGGGCGGGCGGCGGGAACGGTTCGGCTCGGCTCGGCTCGGTCTGCCCGAACTCACCGGGACACCCCAGGACCGGACACTGCCCCCCGAACCCACCGGGACACCCCGGGACCGGACACTGTCCCCCAAACCCATCGGGACACCCCGGGACCGGACACTGTCCCCCAAACCCATCGGGACACCCCGGGACCGGACACTGCCCCCCGAACCCACCGGGGCACCCCGGGACCGGACACTGCCCCCCGAACCCACCGGGACACCCCGGGACCGGGTTCAGGTCTTGCAGCAGGGCCCGGCCGTCACGGCGGAGCTCCCGGGGCAGCCGTGAGGGGATCCCGGGGCAGCCGTGAGAAGATTCCGGCACAGCCCTGAGGGGATCCGGGCGCAGCCGTGAGGGGATCCCGGGGCAGCCCTGAGGGGATCCCGGCGCAGCCCTGAGGGGATCCGGGCGCAGCCCTGAGGGGATCCCTGAGGGGATCCCGGCACAGCCCTGAGGGGATCCGGGCGCAGCCCTGAGGGGATCCCGGCACAGCCCTGAGGGGATCCCGGGGCAGCCGTGAGGGGATCCCGGGGCAGCCGTGAGGGGATCCCGGCACAGCCCTGAGGGGATCCCGGGGCAGCCGTGAGGGGATCCCGGGGCAGCCCTGAGGGGATCCCGGGGCAGCCGTGAGGGGATCCCGGGGCAGCCGTGAGGGGATCCCGGGGCAGCCGTGAGGGGATCCCGGGGCAGCCGTGAGGGGATCCGGGCGCAGCCCTGTGGGGATCCCGGCACAGCCCTGAGGGGATCCCGGGGCAGCCGTGAGGGGATCCCGGCACAGCCCTGAGGGGATCCCGGGGCAGCCGTGAGGGGATCCCGGCACAGCCCTGAGGGGATCCCGGGGCAGCCGTGAGGGGATCCCGGCACAGCCCTGAGGGGATCCCGGCACAGCCCTGAGGGGATCCCGGCACAGCCCTGAGGGGATCCGGCCGCAGCCGTGAGGGGATCCCGGCACAGCCGTGAGGGGATCCCGGGGCAGCCGTGAGGGGATCCCGGGGCAGCCCTGAGGGGATCCCGGCACAGCCCTGAGGGGATCCGGGCGCAGCCCTGAGGGGATCCGGGCACAGCCCTGAGGGGATCCCGGGGCAGCCCTGAGAGGATCCCGGGGCAGCCGTGAGGGGATCCCGGCACAGCCCTGAGGGGATCCGGGCGCAGCCCTGAGGGGATCCGGGCGCAGCCCTGAGGGGATCCCGGCACAGCCCTGAGGGGGTCCCGGCACAGCCCTGAGGGGGTCCCGGGGCAGCCGTGAGGGGATCCCGGCACAGCCCTGAGGGGGTCCCGGGGCAGCCGTGAGGGGATCCCGGGGCAGCCGTGAGGGGATCCCGGCACAGCCGTGAGGGGATCCGGGCACAGCCCTGAGGGGATCCCGGCGCAGCCCTGAGGGGATCCGGGCACAGCCCTGAGGGGATCCCGGGGCAGCCCTGAGGGGATCCGGGCGCAGCCCTGAGGGGATCCCGGCGCAGCCCTGAGGGGATCCGGGCACAGCCCTGAGGGGATCCGGGCGCAGCCCTGAGGGGATCCCGGGGCAGCCCTGAGGGGATCCGGGCGCAGCCCTGAGGGGATCCCTGAGGAGATCGCTGCCCGCCGTCCCTCGGCACAGCGGATCCCGGGTTAAGGCGGAGGGTGCTGCCTGGCCGCGGCTCCCGCAGAACGGCAGAGCCTCGGGGTGTCCGAGCTGGGAGGGCCCCGCAGGATGACCCGGCCAGCCCCGGTCCCGCACACAGCCCAGCAGTGCCGCCCCGTTCTGAGAGCGCTGTCCGAACGCTCCCGCAGCTCACGCTCTTCGGAACGGTTCATATTTAGGCACTTGTATGATTTCTGCTTTTGTGCTCGTTCCTTTATTCGTGAATGGATTTTATTCCTTTATTGCTGGAGTTTCCTGCACGAGCTCTGGGCTGAGGAGCATCCCTGTCTGCTGTGCAGGATATGCCCCAGAGGCAGATCAGAGATCTCCAGCACATCCCTGCCCGTGTTTATTTGGTGTAAGAGCTGCAGAATTAAACCTGTGTTACCCTGCAGGATCCACAGAGAATTAACTGCTGTAGGAGAGGTTATTCTGAAATACAAAAAAATGATTGAACCTTAATTCCCAAATGTTAATCTTTTTTTTCCATTTTTTAGGAGGACAAAGTAAGACATGGCAGAAGCAGTTTTTCACCCCCCAAGAAGGAAAAGAAGAGTTTTCGAGTCCTACGAGGCTCCTTTTCCTGTTGATGTAGGGGGAAAAGATTTCAGACTCTGCCAGGCTGAGATCATTAACAACAATGTGATTGTCAGGAACCCTGAGGATATTGAACAGCTCTACAACAAGGTGCTGCACCCTGTTTGCACAATATTTGTAGTGTTTTAAATGCAGGTAAAACAATACTGATTCAAAGCTGCTGCCTTTTTCTTTCCTGCCCCTTCAGACTCCTGTGATTCTCCATATTTCCCTTCTCTCCTGAAATCAGTACAAAAAAAAAATATTCTGTATCAAATGTGAAAAGTTTTTCTTATCCAAGCAAATAAATTTTGGAATGAAGTGACATTGTGGGCTAAGAAACAGCTGCAAAGCCTTCATGTTTATGTCTCCTTTCAATATTTCCTGCAACTTTTCAAAGCATTTTCTTGTTTTTAAAGCTCAGGGGGTTGAAATATTAATGTTTTATAAGTGCTTGTATAATCATTTTAACTTCAGAGTGCTTTATTCCTGTGTAAAAAAGCTGTGTTCAGTTTTTTTTTGTCTGAGTACCATTTCAGCAGCATTCTATTGCAGTGGTATCTCTTTGGTTTCAGGTGTTGTTTTCAAACATTTGCTGGGAGGTTTTGGCTGACAAATATTTAGAAGTCGGGGAGAAGACCCAACACTCTCCAGGATAAATGGGATTTAAATACTTGGTTAAATCATGTGCTTAATACCGAACCAGCAGCTAAACAAGCTTTAAGCAGGGCTGAAATGCTGCAGGAGTTCAGCTGTTTGTTCTAGCTGGTCTCACCATTCCACATTTTATTAGTGGGAAATAAGTTAATTTTTGTGCCATGAGATAATTTGGGGCTTTTGGTGTCCTTTGCAGGGCTATTTTGGAAAAGGGATCCTTTCCAGGAGCCGGCCAGTGTTCAGCATTTCAGACCCTCTGCTAGTGGCCAAGTGGAGAGGTAAATGGGGGCTGTTTCATCTCAGCACTGCTCTGGTAGCTTCTGTCACCTTTCCTCACCCACTGAAGGCATATTTTTATAAATTACATGCAGAAGAATAATCTGCTGGATTGGATCAGGTGAAGGATATCTGTCTCTCCACATCTCTCATGTCTAGGAAAAATCCAAGAGTTGAAATCCATGTGGATAATTCCCAAACTTTCACTGAGTTGTTGCTTGGGAAGACTGAAGCAAAGGGATCATCCTGGGGCTTTTTTTCCTCCTTCTTTTCCTTGGGTTTAATCTGCAGGTTTTGGTGTCCCTGAAATGATGAGGGAAGGATTGGTGAAGTTTTCAGCCTGCCTGGAGCCGGTCACATCCAGTCTGCTCTTGGCTGTATATGTAAAAACTCATTTTTTACTCACCTCTCCCATGACAGTGAAGTCTCAGTGGCCTTCACTGGATATTATCCTGTCCCTCCATAATTGTCTGGAGAAAAAGTGTATTTACTTCTTCTCTGTGCAGGTGGTTACATTTGTACCTTTCCTGGTTCTGCTGTGACCAAAATGGCTTTGAGGACTGAAAATGGGGACAATTCCTAGGCTGCAGATCACCCCAGTGACCAAAATCACACAAAACCATCTTTCTATTGATGAAACAATGCATTATTTTTCTTTACACAGGTGTTAACACAGACATGCCCATAATTACATCTCAAAAGTAAGTGAATCTGCTTTGTTCTTGGTGTTCTTAGGAAACAGATTGTTCTGGTTTATATTTCTCATACTGGGTTTCAGGTTGCTGGCTGTATGAATTGAGACAGTGACTTCCTTCTGTTTATTTTCTCATGATTTCATTTATAAAGCACTTTAGAAGATGTAGAAATCAGGTAGGGGGTGATACTCAGGGTGGTTTTTCATGTAAGCTTGTAGGTGTTGATTGCTGAATAGAAGCCAAGGCTGAATGCATGCATTGAATGGGTAATTAATTAGTAACAATTACAGGCATAATAAGCATTCTTCAGGTGAGGAGCGGGAAAAGAAGTTTCTGGGGCAGGCTATTTAAAATATCTCTTCCATTTCCATATTGGGTTTTTATAGTATAGCTGAAGCAGCTTTTGAACTTTTACAATACTTTGATATGTTACCATTTTTAAGTCTCAGTTAACATTGGTAGTTTGTATACTTAGCAAAACAGTGTTGGGCCACATTTTTTTTTTTTCTGCTTAAATAGTGTATAAACTATTAAGTGTGTGCAGGTGAGTTACTCAGTTGGTTTTAATCTTATGATAACTAAAAAAATTCACTTAAATTTGAAAATTATGCTCTCAATTGCAATATGCAGCTCTCAGTTTTAGTAAGAAAAACAGTAGCCATATTATTGCTAATGCTACTCCAGTTACTGCTGCTTGCAGATGCTGAGCATCAATAAAAGTGTGATTTTATTGCTGCACAAAATGCTTTGCCTCAGTAGAGACCTGCAAGTGCAAATTGAATGGAATTAAATAATAGGACAGAGAGGAATATCCTTTATATAACAAACAGCACAGCCCTGAATTATCCAGCTTTATCAGGAGCCTGCAGGGGGACTTGTATTTGTGTTGACACATGAATTTGCATTTAATGTCTTTGTTACCTGGGCTGAAATTGCTGCCTGAGGATTTTGTTCAGGGAAATAAAAAATTCTGTACAAGATTTTCACCTTCACAGAGTGAAGAGTCATGTTGCAACTGACTTAATGTTATTTTAATAACATTAAATGTTATTAATGTTATTAATAATAAATTAATGTTATTTTCCAAGAGAAGAAATTGAAAAGGCACTACATTTCTGTCATGATTGAAAACTATTAGAAATAGTAGCTGAAAGGCATAAATGTCTCAGTGATGGGATGATTGTCATTCCTCAGGAATGTAACTGAGGGGTTTGGTACAAAAAGGTGGTTTCTGCTAGAGAATTTTCTACTGGAGTTTCTGCTGTGCCATTGCTGTTTCCAAGGCAGTTAAAGCAGAGTTTTGCAGCTCCTGCTCTAAGTTCTTGGCTGTGTAAAAGCTGAAGTGGGAGGGCTCTTGTTGCACGTTTTAATCCTGCAATTACAAATCTGTGAGGAATTCAGGCTTAAGGCTTTCATGGGAGAAGGGACTTTCTGCCTGGTGAAGCTGCTGCTCCTTGAGCCTGCCCAGCAGTTTGGCAGGGCTCAGCAACACTGTTTGCTGCCAGGGAAATTGAAAAGGCCAAACAAAGGCACAGGAAGCAGCAGAATCCTGGTATTCCTGAAGCTCCCTAAAACACTGGAGCCCCACTGCATCAATCACATGTGTGCTAGCAGCTGCTGGGGCTGTTTGTGCTGAACCTTCTGGGGTTTAAAGTGTTAATTAAAGGATGCAGTCCCTGGAATTCCTCATTTCTTGTGTTCCCCAGGTACCAGCGCCGTGTGCAGTGGGCTCAAAGTGTCCTGCAGGAGCAGGGCCTCGACAGCTGCTCTGCCACCAAAATCCTGGAGAGTTACACCAAACCCCTGGGGCTGCCCTTCTGCAGAGGGGCTGGGGCTGAACACACTGGGGACAGCTGCAGCAGAGGGGGCCCAGGAAATGCAGAACTGTGCAGGAGATCTGCTGGCAGGGAGGGAGCCCAAAGCCCTGAGGGGCACAGCCAGCGCCCCGACCAGGGAGGAGATGCAGCCCTGGATCCTGGGAGTGGCTCCAGGGACCAGGAACAGGGGGATTCCAGGGAAATGGCTGAAGGGTCCTGCCACAGGGACCCTCCTGTGCTCTGTGGCTGCGAGGGGAAGCAGAGCCCTGAGCAGAGGGCTTGGGAGGGGATGGACTCCAGGGAATGTGCTCCAGAATATGTGCTGGTGGAAGAGGAGGAAGAAGGCAGCTCCTGTCCTGAAGATGGCTCCACTCGTGCACAAGAGAATGTAAGGAAAAAAATCTAATCTTTTAGAAAAAGCTAGTTTCAGAATTCAGTATTTTTTCCAGTTCAACATTTTAATAATAATCATTTTTTTCTTGTAGCTTGTGAAGAAGGAAGTATTAGTATGCAGAAAAAACCCATTTAGGATTTTTGAGTACTTACAACTCAGCTTGGAAGAGGTATGTGTCAAGCTCAGTGCAAGTTAGTTTGCTTTTAATCTGAAAAAGTAAACCTTAATCTATGATACACCGTCATATAAGATATGTTTCTAAAATACAGGGTCCTGTGCCTCCTAAGTACCTGGATTGTCTTAGTCATTAAACTTAGCTTTAATATGCTGTGACAATTACACAAGATGGTTAAAAAATAGGGTCCAATTCTGTTTGCTTTTGGTGGATAATCCCACTGACACAAAGACCAGTGACAGGACTTAAATATAGAAATACCAGGAATACAATATTTCTATGAATCCTCTTTCAATTCTGCTGCTTCTAATTATATTTGTGTGTCAGTTTTAACACCATGCCTTCAGCAGTGGTGATGTAGAAAATTAAGTAATGAAGCCTTTGTTCTTGCAAGGCTTTACATATAAACTACAGGAGGAATGCAGCTATCAGTTAAACTGACTATGTTTGTTTTTTTCAGGCTTTTTTCTTGGTGTATGCTCTGGGATGTTTAAGTATTTATTATGGAGAGGTAAGAGATTGGATTAATTTTGGATTACTGGGGATGCTTTTTCTCTGGATACGGTTTGGTCTGAATGTTCACCTGTATGGCAGTGATTTCTGCTGTTAATTCTGGAGGAGGAAATACCAAACACAGGAATTGGGAAGATTTTCTTACAAGCAATGGTATTTCTGTTTAGGAAGTACAGGTCTGAAAGCTTTAGGTTTACCAAGACAGATACAATTAAGCATTGTCTGTCTGCAGAGAAAGGATTTTTGTTGTAACTTAGGCAGGAAGTATAGGAACAATAATATGGTAAATAATATAAGAAATAATATGGTAAGTAATCACACCTGAGATGGCAAACTTCCTTGGAGTTTTAAACATTAATTCTACCAAGCTATTATTGATCTTATGTCATAATTCTTCAAACCTGTGCTTTTAGCTGAAGATAAATCAGCCTTTCCTTTAACAGGGGTCTTACAGGAACTGCCTAAAAGACCCACTAAGTGGAGCAGCAGGTTCCTGCCTTGAATTCAGGGATTTTACTGTCTGCAGTTCCTGCTCTGTGCAGCAGCCTGTGGTGTTTATTTGGTATTTGTGGTGCTGTGCAGCAGAGCATGGCTGGTTTATCTCGGTGCAGTGACCTTGCTGTGGGGTTTGCAGGAGCCCCTGAGCATCGTGAAGCTGTGGGAAGTGTTCAGTGAGGTGAAGCCTGATTTCAAAACCACCTACATGGCCTACCACTACTTCAGGGGCAAGGGCTGGGTGCCCAAGGTGGGGCTGAAGTATGGCACGGATCTCTGTGAGTACCTCCCCAAAAATGGGATCATTTCCTGCTCACCCCTCCTCCAGGCAAGGCAGAACTGCAGAGAGGAATTCAGTGAGGAGCTGCAGGACTGGAGCAGCCTTTGCTGCTTGCAGTTGGCAAAGGACATTTGGGGTTAGCAGTGAAGTTGGGATGCGAGTGGAAAGGAACATCCCATAGCCAGGAGGTGGAGAGACAGCTCGGAAGGTCTGGTTTGCTTCATGAGGTTCATAATTCCTACAGGATTGCACTGAAATTCCCTTCCCAGCTTTCTCTGTCCTCTCCTAAGCACACCTCCAAATTAATGGGTTTGAATCCAGATCCCAATCCACATGAAAGTTCATGCACCTCATTCATTCCATTTAAGAAAAGCTGGACTTCTGCTGAACCCACTGCTAGGATTGTTTCTTTGTGTGGGCTTTTTGGGGGAGCTAGAGAATGGATTGGCTTTTGTAATATTGGTTGAGGGTTTCATATTATAGAAGTAATTAGTGGTGTCCTTGCTAAAGAACTCCAGAAGTCCATTTAGCTTGTTTCAACATGAGCAGTGCAGTAATGCCTGTTATTACAGGAGACCATGCATTAAAGTCAGGTATTTTGGATGTGTGCAACCCAGCAACTGTTTTAATGCTGCTGAAATGGTTGGTGACACGGTTTGGGGATGTGCTGAGCAAGTCCTTTAGGTCAGTGTGTAGCTCTGGCTGAATTCATCATCCCTGCCAAAAATTTGCATTGTCAGCTCTTTCCTACGACAATTTCTAATTCCTCTGGTTCTTCTGCCTTACCTTGGACCTGCCACTGCCCTGCCCTGAGTCACTCTGCTGCTCTTCCCTCTCTCCACTTGCTGGGACAACCTAATTCTGAGCAGAATTGAGAAGAGTTGAAGTTTTGTCTTGTGTAATTAAAATTTACAGAACATTTGCCAATGTTGATGGGCCCTGGTATTAAACCCATTGAAACTCTGATCTGACTGAGGTGTTTCTCTTTCATTTCAGTGCTGTATCGAAAGGGGCCCCCGTTCTACCATGCCAGGTTTGACACTCCTGTTTCTGGCTCATTTCTTTAAGTTAAATTTCACTCACACCAATTTAGCATCTTCACTGGTTCAGCACATATTCATCACTCAAAATACATTGTGTTCACACCAAGAATGTCAAAATCCTTTTAGCAGAGAAGCTACATGACACCATTTCTTTGTATATAAATAACAGGCATTAAAAATCACAAGCTGCACTAGATTTAGCATTCATATGATGATGGAGCCGGAAAATAATTGGATTTTTTATTACTGACTTAAAAAACAATGTGGTCTGCATAATTTATGTAATTTGGAAGAACTTTTAAGGGATGATAATTGTCTTCATTTGTTGGCTAGTCAGGTTGAACTCCTAGATAATAAATTGCTTATAAATGTCAGCTTGGCATTAACAGAGAGAATGCTACAAACATCAGAAGGGTGGGGAGGGAAGGCACCATTGGGCACATCCACAACTTCAGTATTTCTCCTCTTTTCCTTAAAGAAAAAGACTCAATTTCACAGCTTGCAACCTGCAAGCTGGCAGATTTTTAATGCCAGTTTTTACCCCCTGGTTCTTGAGCTGTCTTCAGAAAATGCCAGTTTCCTTTCTGTGACTTGTCCTGCCTGCTGTGTTTTCCAGTTACTCTGTCATTGCTGAGTTGGTGGATGATAATTTTGAAGGTCCCCTTCGCAGACCCCTCAGCTGGATGTCCCTGTCTGGACTGAACAGAACAACTGCAAATGCTTCTAAGGTACAAGTTCTGGGGTAAAACCAGCTTTGGGATGATAAAGTCTGGCTCCAAAGGGAGAGACTTGGAGTGAGGCTGGGAAGAGAGAAGTTTCTTGTCAATATCCAGGTCAATCCTGGAAGAATTATTGTTAAATAATAATTATGAAAGTCCTGCCACTTGTAGGAATGTTGAAAGTTGTGTGAGAAATAGCAAAACCCAAGGGACCCTTATTTCCTGATTGCCACTTTTGTTTTTAAAGCCCTTTCCATCTCCCAGGATTTTGTTTTGAGCTGTGAGACTGAAATTTCCCTGAGATTTTCTGTGTGAGCTTCACGGTGCTTCCACAATGCAGTGAAATTCCTGTGTTTCCTGGCTGCCCACAGGAGCTCATGCTGTGCTACTTGATCAGACCTTCTGACATGACTGCAGAGGAGATGTCAACCCCAGAGTGCATGAAGAGAATCAAGGTTCAGGTGAGTGGTTCCTGCTTTTTTACAGTTCCGTGGGAGAATTGTGCCACCTTCTTTGGCTTGGTTTGTGTTTTGCACATGTGGCTGCAATAAAATTAAATTCCTTCATGCCCCAAGTCACACAAATTGCAGTACAGGATCTCTATAAACTTAATATCTCCTGTCTGAATGGGAATGTTGCTTGACACCATGCATGTAAGCATTTAGGGATTCCTGAAAAACCTGTGGAGATGGCAGGGCTAAAGTAAGGTCAGAAATAAAAGGGGAAATGTGTGTGAGTTCAGCTCTCTTCAGGAGCAAACAGAGTCATCTACTGAAATATCAGTGGCCACATAATACGCATCAGTTTTACAGACCTAGTCCCCATCCCTCACTGATTTTCTGTAGCTTTTGGGATTTTTCCTTAATAATTGCTGGGTTTTATTTCAGGAGCTGATCGTGTCTCGTTGGGTTTCCTCCCGTGAGCGCAGTGAGCAGGATGAATTTTAACCGACTGCACAAGAAAACCTCACTTTTTAGAAACTATTTCTAGTTGTTTTTACCTGATCTCATGATGAACTGTTGGCCCAGAACATTTTCTACCAACATACTCACTTGGTTTGTGTAAATGCTGTTTAAAATGAGGTGTATCATGTTTACTGGAGAGAATGTTTTACTGAAGAATGAAAAGCTGTGTTCCAACTCAAAATACAGAAGATAAAAAGGTGCATGTTTGAGCGGAGGCTACACTGCTGTCATTAGGAACAGTATTTCTGATATTATGGAAGCACAAACCTGACTTCACAGTCTTGGTGAATTCAGATTTGCATTTGGAGAGAGGTTTGGTTGTTGCAGCTGGGACTCTGGAACTTATTTTTACAATCACAGCTCAGAACTGAGGAACTCTTCCCAGAATTTAAATTTATTCCGGGGCCTGGGCACCTTTCCCCATCTGGATGAGAAGTGTTTCTTCCTTTGGGATTTGCAGCTTTACATTCAGGTATCTGGATTCCACCTTGGCTTCTTTCCTTTACCCTGCATTTCAGAGTGGAAAAAGAAATCTGACAGCATAGAGGCTGGATTTATTTGTTGGTACATTTATTAGTAATTAAAGGAAAGGAAATTAACAGTCAGAGAGGGATGGGATTTAGCAGCACGCAAACGTGTTCCCTTTTTTTCACCCATCAGTAAACAAATGTGACAGGAAAAGGCTATTTTGGTTTGCTACAGCTGAAGTTCATTTGTAAAGCCCTGAATTCCACAGCAGTTCTGATTTCTGCTGTGAAGTGTTTTTGCAGAACAGAGCACACAGTGAATGTTAAATCAGAAAACATTTTTCCACAGGAATAGTTCCCATGGAAATTCTCTGTAGTGCGTACATTGTGCGTGTGTGTAACTTCACTGAAATGCACAAGCTCAGTACCCTGCTCCTCCCTGAGGTTCAGGGCGAAGTTAATGGTGTTTTTAACCCCATTAAACCCTAAACCCTGAGCTGGAGCCCCAACCCTGCCTTGCCCATGGCTACTCCAGCAGGCTGTGGCTCCCAGCCCCGCTGTGGTGCTGCTGCTCAGCCAGGGGCACGACGTAGACGTCGCTGTGCTGCAGCTGCTGCTGCAGGGCCAGGTAGCGCGAGGCCTCGGAGGTGTGGGGCAGCAGGAAGCGCTGGGTGAACTCGCCCTTGCTGAGCGCCGCGCGGCCCCGCGCCTGCCGCACGCGGTTCACGAAGGCCAGGGCGAAGGTGTAGCAGTTGTGCTGCTGCTCCTCGTACCTGGGGAGACACCCCTGAGCAGGGCATGGCACTGATCCAACAAACACCCCTGAGCGGGGCACTGCTACTCACCAAACACCCCTGAGCAGGGCATGCCACTGACCCAGCACACAACCCTGAGCAGGGCACTGCCACTGACCCACCAAACACCCCTGAGCAGGGCATGCCACTGACCCAACAAACACCCCTGAGCAGGGCATGCCACTGACCCAGCACACACCCCTGAGCAGGGCACTGCCACTGACCCAGCAAACACCCCTGAGCAGGGCACTGCCACTGACCCAGCACACACCCCTGAGCAGGGCACTGCCACTGACCCAGCAAACACCCCTGAGCAGGGCATGGCACTGACCCAGCAAACACCCCTGAGCAGGGCACTGCTACTCACCCAACAAACGTCCCCCATCACAGGGCACTCCACCCACCACCACCCCTGAGGAGTGTTTACTCCAGGAATGCTCTCCAGTTACTCCCCCTCCCTCCCAGTGGTTCAATTTACTCCTCACAAGGGGTACTTCCCAGCCTGAACTCTGAGTGTAAAAATGAGAGGGCTACAAGACCTGACAAAAAGGAGTTCTTGTTTTTCATACTTCTTTGGCTTTTACCTTGTTAACCTTTGCTCTTCCAGCTATTGTTAGCAGCTCTTTCCTGCAGCCCCAGAGTTAACTGTGTGCCCCCATGGGTGAGTGGGAGCTCATTTCAAATCCTTCTATCAGTGATTTACCCTTCAGTAAGTGAAAAGCTATCAGGAAAACCAGATAAGGCTTGGCCTGAACCCAAAGGAGTTACAGGATTAGTTTAGTGCAGTTCCTGTCCACTGAGAAAATAAGCAGAGGATTTAATTAAAAGAGTTGTTTTCAGTTCAGTGGTCACTGGTGTGGCTGTGAAAAAAGGTCACTGTGTCAGGAGTTGGAAACCAGGGAAAAGCCAGGAGAAGGGATGCACACATCTCTGAACTTCTGCCAGTGATTTGATGTCAAGGCAGCTTTAATATTACTGGGAACTGTAAAAGTGACACAAGTTCTGTTAGTTTTACCAGCTCTGAAAACATCTAAAAATTCTGTTCTAAATCAAATTTTCTATCTCCTTTAGGGAGGTAATACTTGATCCCTGAAATCTTTTGTCAATACATAGAGAATTGCTAAAAAATTATTTTGCTTTGATTTGTTTTTTTCTTTTATGGTTGCATTCACTCAGTGGCAGCCAGGCAGGCTGTGTGTTACAGTCCCAGGAGTGGTGCTTTCCTGGAGAGCTGCTCTGCCACCACAAGAGCTGGAAATCAGCCTGCTTTCCATTTCTCACCAATTACATCAAAAACAGCAACGGGGCAAGAATCCTATCACTGTGCCCAGCCTTTAAATCCAAATACACCTAAAACTGCTAAAACCTAGAAAAATAATTATGGAATTTTGCCTGGACTTTGTGTTCAGCAGCATGGAGGTCATGTTTCATGCAAAATTCCCTGAAGCCACCTCTTGCTTCAGAGCTTTTATGTTCCAACAGCTGATTTTACTTAAAATTCAGAACACTCAGTGCAGCCAGGCCAGGTTGGCTGCCAGGAATGTCCTGAAGGACAGCAGGCTCTGAGGCCAAACCTCATCCCAAACACACCTGTGAGGGAGCCAGGCCTCTTCCAAGGAGAATTCCTCCAGGAGGTTGTCCCAGTGCTGCAGGAGCTCCCACATGTCCGGCTGCACCAGGGGGATGCTGATGCACTGTTCCCAGCCGCTGGCAGCCCTGTGCACGCCCTCCTGGTCATAGTTGTACACCAGCCCTGCAAGCACAGCCACGGGCAGCACGCACTGAGCCCTGCTGGGGTTTGCCCTGACCAGGAAATGCAGTCCTGCCTGCCAGCCAAATCCTGCTCTCGTTCTCACAGCGGAGTTTGGAAAAAGATCTGCCTCTTTTAATAATCAGAGCAACTGAAGGACAGTCAGGCTTCATTTTTGACCCCCAAAGGAGACTGGCTTTGTATGAAATATACATCTGAAATGATGCTTTGCAGGGCGGACCTACACTGGGTAGAACCCAATGGGATTTTTAATGTGCCTTTTAAAGATGTTTTTTAATTAGGGGTGTTTTTAGAATTAGCAAAAACGCTGTTAAACTCATTGAAGCTGTAATTCCTTAAAAGCAAGGCTAGCCTTTCGTTCCAGGGCTGGAAGGCGCGGGTTGTATTCCATTCAGGGAATGGATTTGCTGTGGGCTGTGCCGCGAGGTGAGCTCAGGCAGCCCGCGGTACTCCGAGCTGGGATTGCCGGGCAGCGGGGCGGGCAGGGGCGGGCAGTGCGGGCAGGGCTGGCAGTGCGGGCAGTGCGGGCAGTGCGGGCAGTGCGGGCAGGGTTGGCAGGGCGGGCAGGGCGGGCAGGGCTGGCAGCAGTGTGGGCAGGGCGGGCAGTGCGGGCAGTGCGGGCAGCAGTGTGGGCAGTGCGGGCAGGGTTGGCAGGGCGGGCAGTGCGGGCAGGGCTGGCAGTGCGGGCAGGGTTGGCAGGGCGGGCAGTGCGGGCAGGGCTGGCAGGGCTGGCAGGGCGGGCAGGGCGGTGCTGCTCACCCCGGGAGTTGGTGATGCCCACGTGGAGGTCGCAGTGCCCGCGGTAGTCGCTGCGAGAGGAGCGAGGGCTGCGGAGGGGCGGCAGCGGCCCCGGCCCGCCTTTCTTCCTGCCCGGGTGCTCTGCTCCCCTGTGCCAGTCCTTCCCCTTCCCTGTCTTCCCATTTCATTTCCTTCCCTCCCCATTCCCTCTCAATACCCGCCCCTTTCCCATCCCTTTCTCCTCCCATTCCCCATTCTCCTCCCTTTTCCCGCCCCTTTCCTATTCCCATCCCTTTTCCCTCCCCTTTCCCATCCCTTTTCCCTCCCTTTCACCTCCCATTCTCCATTTCCCTCCCCGTTCCCTCCCATTCCCCATTCTCCTTCCCTTTCACCTCCCCTTCCCCCTTTCCCTCCCCGTTCCCCTCCCATACCCATTCCCCTCCCCTTTCCCACCCCTTTTCCCTCCCATTCCCCATTCTCCTTCCCTTTCCCCTCCCATTCTCCCTTTCCCCTCCCATTCCCCATTTCCCTCCCCGTTCCCGCCCATTCCCATTCCCCCTCAGTGCCGCCCCGTTCCCGCAGCGCCCCCTGGCGGTTACTGCAGGAAGGTGCCACGGCTGGGCCTGATGAGGAAGGCGTGGGGCTGCCCGTGGCCGTGCCGGAAGGGGCAGCGCAGGCGGACAGGCGCGGCGGCCAGCCCGGCGGCGCGCAGGTCCCCGCCGCACGCGGGGCAGCGCGGCGGCGCGCGCCGGCAGTACAGCAGCGCGCGGCAGTGACGCACGCGCAGCAGCGCCATGGCCCGGCGCGCCGGCCAACACCGTCCGGCCGGAAACGCGGCCGCGGGGCGGGGCGGGGCCGCGGCCACGCCCCCCCAGCGCGCAGCGGAACCTCGGCGCGTGGTGCGCGGCGCCGGGCGGGCCCGGCAGTGCGGCGCACGATGAGCACGAAGCAGGTGACGTGCAGGTGAGCGCGAGCGCGGCCGCACCGCCCTCAGGGCCCTCAGAGCCTTCACTGCCCTCAGAGCCCTCACTGCCCTCAGAGAGCCCTCACTGCCCTCAGAGAGCCCTCAGAGAGCCTTCACTGCCCTCAGAGCCCTCAGAGAGCCCTCAGAGAGCCCTCAGAGCCCTCAGGGCCCTCAGAGAGCCCTCAGAGAGCCCTCACTGCCCTGTGAGCCCGCACCGCCCTCAGGGCCCTCAGAGAGCCCTCACTGCCCTCAGAGCCCTCACTGCCCTCAGAGCCCTCACTGCCCTCAGAGCCCGCACTGCCCTGAGCCCGCACGGCCCTGAGCCCTCACTGCCCTGTGAGCCCTCACTGCCCTGTGAGCCCGCACGGCCCTGAGCCCTCACTGCCCTGTGAGCCCGCACGGCACTGAGCCCGCACGGCCCTCAGAGAGCCCGCACGGCCCTCAGAGCCTTCACTGCCCTCAGGGCCCTCAGAGAGCCCTCACTGCCCTGTGAGCCCGCACTGCCCTCAGGGCCCCTGAGCCCTCACTGCCCCTGAGCCCGCACAGCCCTCAGGGTCCTCAGAGAGCCCTCACGGCCCTGTGAGCCCTCACTGCCCTCAGAGCCATCAGGGCCCCAGAGCTTTCAGAGCTCTCAGGACCCTCAGGGCCCGCACGGCCCTCGGAGCCCTCAGAGCCATCAGGACCCGCTGAGCCCGCACGGACTTCAGAGTCCCCAGAGCCCTCAGAGCCCTTGGAGCCCTCGGGCACCCCGCGGAACTGCCCCGCGCCTCGTTCCGCTCTCCCGCCCCCCACACTCCGTCCGGGCCGGAGCCCTCACAGCCCCAGACCCCGCCTCGGGCCCTTGGAGCCGCCCGGTCCCGCTCCCCGGCCCCCGCAGGCCCGTGGGTGCCCCGAGCCCCTGTCCCTGTCCCGGCGCTTCCCGGGGAGCGGCTCTCCGGGCCTCTCGGGGGTTCTGCTCGGGTAGCGGAGGGGCGCGGGGGTGAGCACGGAGCGCTCTGCCCGGGGCAGGCGGGGCACGGCTCCGAGCCCGGGGCTGGGCTGGGCTGGGCTGGGCTGGGCTTTGCCAGCCCCGGCAGTGCCCCCCCACACACACACACTAACACACAAATAAACACAAAGAAACACACAAACAACCAAAGGCGGTGCTCCCGCGGCACTGCCCGCCCTGAGCCGCGTCTCTCCGCAGGTATTTCTTGCAGGGCGTGTGCCGAGAGGGCAGCAAGTGCCTCTTCTCCCATGACCTGGCCACCAGCAAATCCTCCACCATCTGCAAGTACTACCAGAAGGGGCAGTGTGCCTACGGCTCCCGCTGCAGGTAAGCCCCCGGCAGCTCCTGGCCTGGCAGCCTCCCCCAGGGCCGGCAGGGAGCACCAGGGCAGGGAAAGAATTCATTAAATGTCAGTTTTGCCAGAGCCTAAAGCAGCTTTGGCCTCCAGTGGTGGAGTTCTGCGCTGGCTCAGTTTCAGGGATTGTTTTGCTCTGTAGAAATGGAGCTTTGGGTTTCAGGTGGGTTTTCCACCCCGTTATTGCAGTCAGAGCTGCAGGTGCTGCTGGAGAGGCCGTGGAGAGGGTGGGAGCTCCTGGTGCAGCTCCCTCCTGCCCCTCCAGTGCAGTTTTGGGACTTTAGCTCTGCCTGGGAGCAAAGTGCCCTCCTTGTGTTCCCCTGGCTGGGTGGGAGGCTGAGCAGTCCCGCAGCTCTCCCTGAGTGTGAGGTTAAAGCTGCCAGGGGAATGCTCTGAGGAGTACCGGGCATGGATTGCTTCCTGGGGAATTCCCTGCTGGCTGAGGAGCCTGCAGCTCCCCTGGGAGCTCCCTGCCTTGCCTGGTCCCTGTGCCACAGCAGGGTCGGGCCTTGGGCATCACTGCTTCCATCAGCTGCTGCTCCGGGCTGGGCTGAGCTCCTCAGGGCTGGCTGCGGGCTGTGTGTGCTTTCCTGGCTGCAATCTGGGCACTGGGGCACGTGTCCAAGCCGATGCACAGATGGGGAATATTTCTGTTCCCCTGAAAATACTGTCGCGTTTTGGTATGGCCCTGGAGCAGCCCCTTCACTCCCCGGGCTGCTCCTGCTCTGCTGCTGCGCTGTGTCCCGGGTTTCCCGGCTGTGTCCCCGGTTCCCCGGCTGCTGGGATCCCCGGTGTCTGGGTGCCGGGCCGTGACGCCGTTTCCGTGCCGCAGGTATGACCACGTGAAGCTCCCTCCGGCGGGCGGAGCCGCGGCCCCGCCGCCCCCCGCGGCCCCGGGCAGCCCCCGGGCACGCCCCGAGCCCGGCCCCGCCGCCCCGCGCAGCAGGAGGGAGAAGAGGACGCTGGTGCTGCGGGACAGAAGTGAGTGGGAGGCTGCTGGGCTCGGGGCCCCGGGCAAGGGGTGGTGTCTCCTGCGGTTATCGGGATTTCAAGGCCGGCCTGAGCTCCTGCCGGAGCCTCCTTCCTGCAGGCACCGCCCGCCATCCTTCTCGATGCTCCGGGCGGTGCTGCCTCCGTCCTGCTCCCCGGGCTGGGAGTGCTTTGTGCGCCCCGACAGGAGCGGGGCAGTGTCAGGCTCTGCTCCCACAGTCAGCACGGCAGCAGCTGTGGGGTCCCTGGAGCCTGGGGAGGACATCGGGATGGGTGTGCTTTGCATGGAGAGGATGGACAGGCGCTGGGAGGGAGTCCTCATCCCTGGAGGTGTCCGAAGGACGGCTGGTGTGGCACTCGGGGCTCTGGGCGGGGTGACAAAGTGGCGATGTCTCAGACCTGCTAATTGTGGAGGCCTTGTGCAGCCGTAGGGGTTCTGTGGTTGTTCAGTCAGTCAGTGCCCAGAGCACACCTGAATAAACACCAGGCAGCGCGGGAGAATGCCTGTGATTCCTGAGCAGGGGATCAGGGACGGCCCCAGGGAAGGCAGCGGTGCCCGGCGCTGTGAGTGCCCCTGCTGTCCCCGCAGACCTGTGCGGCCCCAGCGAGGACACGCAGCGGCCCGGCGGGCCCGGGGCCGCGCTGTGCTGCGGCAGCCCCGGGGACAGCCAGGAGGACAAGCCCCACTCGTACCTGGAGGCCATCTGCAGCGGGCTGCAGGAGCCGGGGCCCGGCGCCTGCCCCGGCGCCGCCGAGCAGCTGTGTCCCTACGCCGCCGCCGGCGCCTGCCACTTCGGGGAGCGCTGCCTCTACCTGCACGGGGAGCTCTGCGAGATCTGCGGCCTCCAGGTGCTGCACCCCTTCGACCAGGAGCAGAGGAAGGCCCACGAGATGGTAAAGGGGGAGCTGGGGGGCTGCTCCGCTCAGGGCAGGGTTGGGGCTGGCTGCTCTGAACATGGAGCTGTGTTGTACTGCTGCTCTGGAGAATGTGCTAGGAGTGGTCAGCTGGAGCCTCTGGAGCTGAATGGGCAGCGATGCTGCAGGCAGCAGCTCGGGGGTTTTGCCGTTCCATCCTCATGCAGCCTTCTCCCACAGCACCCTGAGGGTCTCCCAGGAGAATCTCTTTGGGAGGTCTCTGACTGAGGTACCAGCTCGCCCTGCAGTGCTGAGGGAATGGGCTGTGGATTGTCACTGCTGGGGGAAAGCCTGAAATAAGAGACTAATTCCTTAACTGGGGAAAAATTAACATCTGGTGTACAAGTGTGGCCTTAATTGTACTCAGAGGAACACCTTGAGTGTGGCACCTATTCAGTGAGATGTTTTTTGGGGATGTTTGAAGCATCAAATAATTCAATACCTGTTCTCTGACAGAGATGCAGAAAGGGGTGAATGAAGCACCCTGGCATCTTTATTTCTGACAGCTGGGAGAACACTGAAGGCTGAAATGCATGATTGAATTTAATGTTCTTTAAATTAAACCCTGACAGTGACAGGTAGGAATGATGCCCCCAGTGAGTGTTCCGTGTTTTCCCTGCAGTAGATGGTTTCCAGGGGGAATTTGGTGTGACAGGCTGGCACTCACAGTGGCTCTCCCCTGACAGATGTGCATGGCAACGTTCGAGCACGACATGGAGAGGGCCTTTGCCATCCAGGCCAGCCAGGACAAGGTGTGCAGCATCTGCATGGAGGTGGTGTATGAGAAGCCCTCGGCCTCGGAGAGGAGGTTTGGGATCCTGTCCAACTGCACCCACACGTACTGCCTGTCCTGCATCCGCCAGTGGAGATGTGCCAAGCAGTTTGAGAACCCCATCATCAAGTGAGTTATGGCACCTGCCACAGCCTGGGGGGCTGCAGGTGTCAGCAGAGCCTGCTCCAGGTGCTGGCCAGGCCCAGGGCCGGGCTGAGAGCTGCCTGCACAGCATCAGGGTGCACTGGGTATCCTTTGGGGCAGTTCCCTTCATTCCACAGCCCTGGGGGGAGCTTTGGCCAGTGGCAGCTCAGCCCTCTCTGATGGTGTGGGCAGTGGGCAGAGTGAACTCTGGAACAGCTGGGACCTGGCAAAGCTCTGCCCCTTGCGAAATGCATCATTTTCTGGGCTCAGAACTGAGATTGGAATGCTCTCATGTGGCAGTGTCCTGGTGTCCCCAGTGCTGAGCAGCGGACACAGAATCTTTAGAATAACCATCTACCTGTGGCACGAGCTGATGGAGCAGCTGTTATCACTACAGTGCCCACTTCAGTGAGAGACTTTAGTAAGAACTCCCATTTTTTCCTATGTATGTGCTTAATTTCAGGATTTTCCCCTAAATTACAGCTTGCTCCAGGTAAATGTCTCACTAAGCACACTTTTATCTGTCTCAGTAAATGTCTTTATCTTCTAGCTCTACAAAAAATGTGTTCCAAACATGTTCTCCCTCAGAGAAAATTTAAAACATCCAATTAGGGAAGCTTCCTTCTTTGAGCATCTCTCAAGTTACAAACATGCTGAAGAAAAGGTGGGGAATATTTTCAGTCCTCTACCAAAATAGACTTCTCTGCACAACTTTTACTCCAAATTTCACTGAAGTGACCATCAGCTCCTTACATTTCAAAAGGCTGTGACATCTTAATTTGTTTTTGGCTTCCTGCTGCACTCCCAGAACACAGTTTGTTTCTGCACACTGAGGAAGTCCCTGCTGCTTTTGCTCAAGTCAGGAAACAAACAAAGCCCTGGGTGCCGGGAGGGTAATTCCAGCTGGAATTCCCAGAAAAGTGCTGTGTGCTGCCTGAGGTGCCAGAGATGTTCTTTCTCTCAGGAGGATCCTCACTGCCTGTGCCAGTCTGAGGAGGTACCAGAGCATCTCTGCTTTGTCTTGTTGCTCCAGGTCCTGCCCCGAGTGCCGGGTGATCTCTGAGTTTGTCATCCCCAGCGTGTACTGGGTGGAAGAGCAGGAGAAGAAGAATGAGCTGATTGAAGCATTTAAGCAGGGAGTGGGGTAAGTGCAGCAGCCACCCACACTCCTCATGTTATTCTTTGGCTGCTCTGAGACTCAGGCAGTTGCTGAGCCTTTATTTTTCAGCTTCATGTAATTACTGACCACTCTGCAGAGAGCTGCTCATCTCTGCTCACACCTGTGCTTCACTCTGTGGCTGTGTAATTGTAGCTCACACGTTCAGCCTCCCTGTGCTCAGAAACGTCGAAGCTATTTCAGCTCACTTGCCAAAACTGGTTTCATGTGGATCCCTCAGCCCTAATTGCCTGCAAGGTTGTTGGTGACTGAGGAGAGCAAACAGGGAAGGAAAATGGAAAGATTTCACTGGTCTCAGCTGAGGATGGGAGGCCAAAGCTCTGGCTGTGTTACCAGAGCATCACTGGGGCTGTGGGGACTGAAGGGCACCCCCTTCCCTTGCAGCTGAAGGCAATAACCCTCTCTCTTGCAATGAACTCAGGAAAAAGCCCTGCAAGTACTTTGAGCAAGGCAAGGGAACGTGTCCCTTCGGAGGGAAGTGTCTGTACCTGCACGCCTATCCCGACGGGACCCGAGCAGAGCCCGAGAAGCCCAGGAAGCAGCTGAGCTCCGAGGGCACAGTGCGGGTAAGGGAGCCCTGCTGTCCCCAGCCCTCCCTGTGCTGCTGGGGATGCTTCCTGCCGTGCAGGACAAGGGAGAAAAGCCCTCTCACTGTCCTTGGGAAACGGTTTGTTCTTGGAGACAGAAGGCACCTCTTGTTGAACTACAAAATAGCATTGCTTGGTATTTTTCCACCAGTCCAAACCTTTCCCCAGAGGAATTCTGCCCTTAAAGCTTTCACCCACAGTACTCACAGCTCCTCTGCTCCAGCTGTGTCCCCTCAGTGCCTGTTCTGGGATGGAGCCTGGCTGCCAGCCTGAGCTCAAACCCAGCTCTGGCACTGGTTGAAGGAGGAGATGGCTGCCCAGGCCAGCGTGGGCTGGCTGCTGGTGCTCAGGCAGCTTTTTCTCTCTTGCAGTTCTTCAATTCCGTGCGCCTGTGGGACTTCATCGAGGACAGGGAGAGCAGGAGCGCGCCCGACGCCGAGGTCACGGAGCTGGGGGAGCTGTTCATGCACCTCTCTGGGGCTGAGGAGGATCCCACTGCTGCCAGGGAGCACACTCAGCCCCTCTGAGCCCAGCAGTGCAGTGCTTCCCAGCCATGCTTTTACTCTCTGAAGCACAGGTAGAACAAAACGTGCCCTGGTGGTTACTTGTGCAGTCCTGGTAAAGTTTTCAGATAGTTTTTATATGGCAACAACAAAAAAAAGACTTAAATATATTTAAAAGAAAAAAAAAAAAATTGTCTGCATGGAAAAAAATCCCTTAATCCCAGGAGGGTTTTCTCCCTCTCTGGCCTAACATGCTGTCTTGTGAGCTGAGTGGTAGTGTAAGTACAGGTCCAGTGAAAGCTTAAGCTGGTAAAAACTTGCTGTTTAGAGCTTGGGTGCTTTTGGGTTTTTTCCTCCACTAAATCAGCTAAATGTTTAACTACAAAACCCACTGGGAATAATGGTCAGTGTAGGGTTTTCTCCTTAGAAAGGAGCTGGTACATTATACCTCAAGCAGTACCTGGAGTTCAGAGCAGTTTGGTGGAATCCCTGAGCAGGGCCTGGCTCTCAGGTGCTGCCAGGGAGTTCCCAGCCCTGTTTCACACTAACCCAGTGCTGCAGGACAAACTGGACCTTGGGAGCTGCAGCACGAGCCGAGCTGTCCTCACAAACCCAGCCAGCTCTGCCCCACAGTCAGCAGTGGCCCTGCAGTAGCTCAGTGCCTCCATTCCCCTTTTCCCCAGCACTGCTGGAGTGTGAGGGATTGTGCACATCTCTGCCGAGTTAACAGAATTGTTACTGAATTCTGCCTTTGTTAAAAATGGGATTTCTGTTGGTGTGGCAAAGGCAGTTCGATTGTGAAATTTGGTACCAGAAGTTAATTCTGCCAAGCCAACTGTTTTAACTTGAAATTTAAACCAAGAATTCAGTGTGCACTGCAGTGGCTGCTGAGTAACAGCATGGACACAGCTGAGCATGAGCTGCCACTGACTCAGGTTCTTGTAAATCACTTGGGGGTGGAGTGAGACACTGAGCAGGGCTTGTAAATACAAATAGAGATGTGGGGTTTATTTTAGAACAGTTTGGTTGCAATGGAAGGCAGGTGTGTAACTGGTTTGGTTATTATCTACAGCAATATAAAAGTATAAAAATAATACTTAAAATTGAGTAAGAAAGGAAGGCCAGGAGCAGAAAGGTTTGTAAGGTTTGTAATCACCACCCATGACCAGTGATGGTCACAGCAGGGTGGGAAATGCTGAAGCAGGTGGTGCTCAGAGGGAGCTGGGCAGGAGGCTGTGCCAGGGGGGCACACGGGGCCCTCCCTGTGTGGGTCTGGTCCCTGCTGGGAGGGACCAGCAGCAGCCTTAATCTGGGGCTCCACAGCTTCAGCTGCCACCAAAGCAGTGACTCCAGGATTATCCAGTGCTGTTGGCACTTCTGGGTCAGGAGCTCCTCCCTGTGCCAGCTGTGCCCTCTGTTCTGACCTGGAAATTAAACTGTCCCCTCACTATCCCCCTACAGGTGATTTTTAGCTCCCTGCAGTCAGGCCTGGCCTTGGCAGTGGCTGTAACATCAGTTCCCAGTTTCTTGGTAAAACTGGCCCAGCAAAGGTCTGAAGCCCCATCAGTGCAATTGGTCAGCCCTAACTACAAAGCAGAAGGTAAATTATCCCTAAGAGGGATGTCACACACCAAGATCAATGTTTAAGGACACCCAAACACCCTTTCTACCCTAGAGTACTTTCCCCAGCCCTCACCCTCTCACTGAAGCTCATTTCCATCTGCTCCTGCACATCATTTTTTTCTCCAGAAACACTGTCAGGAGTACACTAAAAAAAAAAAAAAATCAATGAAGAGGATCTTCTTTACCTGAAACAAGACATTCCTCATTTACTTTGCCCCAAGAAGCCATGAGGGATAGTCTGAAATTAAAAAGATACCTTGTTTTTCAAAGCTGCCCAGGGACTTAAAATGTTCTTCACTCAGCACCTTTCATTTAACTAGATGTCAAGTGCTGGTTAAAATAAACCCACTTATCAAAAATACTTAATTTTTTCAAGAGACACATGATCTTTAAAAATCATGAGTTAATGGTTTCTTTTGGGAAATCAGAGTTAAAGCAGCTTACCTCTTCTGGGGGTTTTTTCTTCCATGTTTTAAACTTACTATAATGAAGTGACAATTAGAGATAAATAATGTTTAGAGAGACTTGCAGTCCAAATACCAGTGATATTGTTAAAAGCCTTGCAGAACTGTATGGAGACTCAATTCACCATTCAGGAAGCAAAGCTTACATGAATTCTCAGTTATCACCCAGGGATTCAAGTTCTGTTACAGAATGTTCTGGGGACAAACTGGAGGTGATTTCTGTGTGTGGCTCTCCTCCCCTGCACAGGAGCTTTGTGGGGTTTTGCTGCTGCAGAGGAGAGGCTGCAGTGGCTGTTTGGGGGAGCTGCACAGGGGACAGTCACAGTTCCCACCAAGGCAGCAGATCTGCCCAGCAGCTCTGGGGTGGAGGTGCCAGAGGGCACTGCCAGCCCCTGTTCCCACTCCCTGACCCCCCAGTCTGCACCCACAGAAAGGCACAGTCCCAAAGTGGGCTCCACTCGTGCGCCAATAACCACATTTCACATTGAAAACATCCATTTTTAGATTCACCCACCTCTTCCTTGTCCACCATGGAGTTCAGCCAACACAAAAACCTCACTTGCACCTCAATAAAAGAGAAAATTGAGCCAAAGTGGTGCAGGGCAAGAGCCTGAGAGCACATCAGGGGTGTGTCCAAAGCAGCTGCTGCTCAAAGATCACTACAGTACAAAAAACTGTCTTGTCATGTGACTGGAAATGTAGAGGTTGTTTTAACAAGTGTGTTTTTACTTGCACTGCTATTATTTATCACTTACTTTTTAAAAATTATTTAGAATGTCATTTCTTGAGTTTTCCAAATGCAGATGTCCTACTCTGAACCGTGGATGACTACATTAAAATGATGACATTGAATCTTAAACCTAAAATTTAATTTATTTTATTAAAATAAGATAATCAGAGGAACCTTGGCTTACAATAAATGCATTTTCTCAGGAGCAATAAAAACAAAATTAAAACCCAAATCAACAAGAAAAACTGTATATGCTCAGTTTCCTCTTGCTAGTGCATCTCTTGGACGACAGCTTCCGCTGGGATGCAGCCTCTGCAGGAGGTGGGACGTGCCCAGCCCCTTCCAGCCCCCAGCCCCGCTCTCCTCACTCGCTCTGCCTGGGCTGCACTAACAGGTCCATAGTACCAAAGGCAGCTGGGAGGTTTCCCAAGGTGACCAAAGCAGGACCGGCTCACCTCCTTCTCTGAGCAGGACAATTCACAACAGATTCCATCCTTTTTTGCAAGAGTTTTTCTTCTATGTGCAAAACTATTGCAAAACTATTTTGTGTTGAATTAGCATTTGAACTTATTTCATTGGCTTGGTGAAGCTCTTAGGCAGGAGCCGATTTCCAGAGTTATTTCCTCTTCCCACTCCAGGCACAGCTCCCCGGCGTGAGGTGGCACTTGGCACGGGGCAGTCAGAGCACCAGAACGTCACCTGTCCTCAGAGCCACCTCACTGAGCACAGAGCAAACCCAGCCAGAGCCACTGCCCAAGAAACAGCCATCGCTTCTGGGAAGGGGAAAATAAGGCTCAAGTGCATCTATTAAAAAAATAGTAATAGATCTCTTGATTTGTAGTCTGTTACCTCTCCCAGAACAAGAGATGGTAGCAAAGGCAATGAGGAGCCGCGTCCCTGCCGCTGAGACCCGCAGAGTCCGCAGCAGCGCTGTGCACGGCGGGCACGGCGGCTCCTGCCGGAGGAGCCAGGCAGCAGCGAGGCGGGAGCACAGAGGCACAGCTCCGTTCTCCGGCTGCTGCGGGGCAGGGCAGGGCAGGGCGGAGCAGCCCGGACACGCCGGGGGCAGCTCAGAACACGGGCAGCCGCGTGGAGGTCAGCGTGCACGCGTTGATGTCCTCGCTGTGCGCGGCGCGGTGCAGGGACGGCTCCGAGGCGCTGCGGTTGATCTTGGGCAGGGAGTGCTGCAGCAGCTCGATGGACGACAGGATCTGGGGAAAGAGCAGCGTTACAGTGTGCTCAGGATGTGCTTTGTCCCGGGACCCCTGTGACTCTGATCAGATAAATGTGGTCCCTTCCTTCCTGCCCCGATGGGGGAGAGCCAGAGAGCCCTCCCTGTCCCAGAGCCTCGATAAGGCTGTGTCCCTGTTTGCCCTCTTTCCCCCTTCATCTCATGGAATAAAGAAGCTGGACAATTACATCGGGGATTAGAGCCTCTTCTGAATCTTTGCCCATCTCCTGACATGCCTCCCCTCAAGGCCTCGTATCTCTGGGCTGGCCTGATAATTTGGGGGCTGAGAGGGGAGAAGCGTCAGAGCAGCTCAGAGAGGCCTGTGGGGCCTGCAGCTCCCTCTGCTCCCATTTAATCATTCATTCATTCATTTCATTCTTACCCAATTCAATTGTGGCTTTCAGTTCTGAATTAATGCTCCGTGGGGCACTGAAAACACCGAACCCAACTCTGCCCACCACTGTCAGTTCTGTGAGGGCCTCAGAGAGTTTCAGAGGGTGGGAGGGTGCTTTTCATCAGCTCACATACATTAGGGGCAATTAATAAGCATCCAAACTACCCTCCAGCAGAGGAACAGGGAAGGAACTGCATCTTCTGACTAACATTTAAAAAGAACTTTCTAAACAATGCTTGACTGCAACAGCAAGAAGTTATTTCTTCCAAAATCGCTGATGTTTAATTAATTAATTGCTCATAATTAATGAGTGCAAGAAAGTACCTTCCCCATCCCCATAGTGACAGGAAAAGGTAAAGCCTCCCTTATAAAAATACAAAGAATTGCTCCACAAATTTACATCCGCCAGTGGATTTTGTTTCCTTGTTCAGAGTTGTGGGGAAGGAAAGGAGCAGTGGCCTCTCATTTCCCTCAGCCCTACTCTAAAGCAGAATGGATACCCAGGGATAGATTTCACTGTCGGGGTGTGAGGGTGGGTTTGGCTTCTCTCCAGATACATCAGGGGCTGGAAGGCTGCTCTGGTGTCAGCCCAGCACAGCCTCGCCCCACACAAGCTGCAGGCTGTGTTCTGGACTTCACACAAACTGCAATTCAGCCAAAACTCAAAGTGCCAAGAGCTGCATTATGAATAAAGACAGAAACAGGACACAGGCTGCACTTCCTATTAACCAAAACTTCTGTGTGAGCTGATGACTCCCTATAAACTCCTCAGCTCCTGTGCAGGACCCCACTCACCTGTGGGAACAGAGGCCGTTCCTCCCTAACCTTCTTCAAACAATCTGCTACCAGCCTCTTCATGGCCTTGGGGCAGTTCTTGTACAGCTTGCTGAGGTCTGGGGAGGCATAGCCCCTGCCAACCATGAAAATGATCTGCAAAAAACCCACAGCACAAAGGACAGGTTACACAAGGGGCCTCACTGCTGGGCAGCTTCAGTGCCCCCAGGCTGCTGAAACCCACAGGGCACCACCACAGCCCGGCAGGTTTGGCTGGCTAACAGCACAGCTCAGCAAAGACTAAACACAAATATTCAATATTCCAAGGCTGGACAGTAGACACTGGGATTTTTCCCTTAGTAAAAAGCACCCCATCCAGTCTTCCTGATGTAGCAGCAGCATATTTAACAGCAAAATGGGAATTTCCCATAACTGCAAATGTATAAAGCAGTATTTTACTGTGCAGCAAAAGCTGTGACCTGGGAATAAATTAACAGGGCACTTCAAATGTTTATAAAAAAGGAGTTTTTTCCTTTGAGTACCTGCACTGTCAATACTGAGGTGAACACTCAGTTACACATTGACAAAGCAGCTTGTCAACATCACTTGAGTTGGTTTGCATTTGTATTTATCCTGCATTCCTCAAGGACAAGGGGATGTGCCATGGGCAGAAATAAACTGGAGTGTCCCAGAAAGGTAATTACCAAAAAGGTGATTCAGAAATATAAACATGACTGACTCTCTCATTTCTGTGTCAGGAGCAGAGCTAACCTATTTCACAAAAATGATCATCATTACTAGGAATCACAAATTTCTGGCCTCCTATACAGTAAAATAATCGGGGTTTTTTTGTTTAACTGAAAAAGGAATCTGTTGCCATTCTGCAACTACTGAACTTGGCAGATTTTTTTGTGATGACATTTGCCAAAACACCCTGGGCACATCTGATGGAAGGAAGCCCCAGTTCCTGCTGGCAGCTCCAGGGATGTTCTGGCAATTCCAAAGCAGGCATTTCCAAGGTGAAAGAAATCAGCTCGCAACATTTTCACTCCAGATGTGTTACTAAATATATATTTTTGCACACAATATAATGGTAAAAGACTGCCTTGTCTGGAGTTTAGACTTTTGGCTTCATTTCTGCCAGCTATGTGAGGAGTTCTCAGTAGATGAAAACTAGACAAGCAGCAGAGGCTCCTCACCTGATCTCTGTTGTTGATGTGGGAGTAGGGCAGCTCTCCTGTCATCAGCTCGTATAACACTATTCCATAGGAGTAGACATCTGACTGGAAGCTGAAGGGGTTGCTGTCCTGCATCCGAATCACCTCGGGGGCCTGGCAGGGAAAACAAATTATCAACAAAACCACAAAGCAGAAGAGGAGGGAAAGGATTTGGGAAGTGAGCTCAGCTGGAAATGAGTGTGCAAAGGGTATGCCCACAGCTTTGATGAGGTTACCTAAGGCTTTGGAGGAGTTCAGGCAGGGCTACGCCACATCTTATTAAAAATATCAATACAGCACACACACAAAAAAATATCAATGCTTAAACTGAAAAAGCATTTTGCCATTAGAAAAAATATTCTTTCTATTTGCAGCATTTATTGACTTCTGTTACACCTTACCCAGAGCTGAGTTTCACCACCAGTTCTTAAACTGGTGTCAAGGTTAAAAGGGAAAAATACAAAATTCTAATCTCTTGTGAATTGATACCAAAACATGGTCAGGAAATGAAAGCCAAACACAAAATAGCACATAGTGAACAGATCAGAGAAGCAATGCAGGGACATTTTTATATATTTGCAAATTATGAAGCTTCTTAAAATAAACAAGGTCAGATGACTGAACAAAACAAGGTGCAAACCATCAGAAGAACTTTCCCATTAGCTAAGATTTTTTTCCCTCCTAAAGAATTCCCTCAGAATTATTAAGCAAAGCAAAGTACAACAGCATAAGAACCACGATAAGGGATCACAGGAGCTTCCAAAAAACAGAAACAACCTCCCTTTCTATGACAGCTCAGCAAAGATGAGCTGTAAATTACTAAAATAAATACATTCTTTTAAAAAGCCTGCAATGAGCAAATATGCAGGGCTTTTTTCCCCAAGGTCTGTTTCACGTGCACAAATACATTGCATGCCACTGGGTAAATAAATTTTAAATCCTTTTATGGAAAGTTTTTTTTAAAATTTGGCTTTTTGTACAGCTTTTTTAAAGAAAAAAACATTCCTGCTTCTGAAACTTTTATTTCAGGTGATGTGTGTATTTTACAGAGCACAAAACAGTCTTAGCCAAGCATCCTGACACTTTTAATACACATTTCCAGATATACTGGCAGCCCTAAATATTTAAAATAACCCACAAGCCCCAGTGGAGAATCCATGGGTGCCTGGTGCCTACTTTGCCCTATTAATCCCCCCAGTTCCATGTTAGCTTGGGACAAAAATCCACCCAGGACTGACAGACCTGAATGCCCAGGGCTGTGCTCAGGGACAGCTGCAGAGGGGAATATTTAATATTTAAAATATTTAGTATTTTATATTAAATTTATTTAATATTAATATTTAAAAGCAGGGAATGCTGTGCTCACCATCCACAGGATGGAGCCCGTGGGCTGCTCCACCTGCTGGGATCCACTCCACCTGGATTTTACAGTTGCCAGACCAAAGTCTCCTATTTTCACTGTGAGGCCTTCATGAAGAAATATATCTGTGGGTTTGTTAAAGAAACTGCACAA